TCATCTGTTTTTTTTTTTTTTTTTTCTGGATTCTTGCTGCTTCCTGCATGAAATCTTTGTGCAAGTGCTTCTGAACGCTTGCCATCCATACACATGCTGGACGCGTGTGAAGAAACATTAAAGAGCAAGCTTGCCTTCAGGGCCTCCCACCCGAAGCCAGATTCGAGATCCTATTGGTCTAAAAGAAATGCCCGCGGACTTGGGCTAGATTCAGAGCCTTATATGCTAATTCCCGAACCCAACAAAATGTTAATAAAATGTTGGGATTTGTTGGGATAGGGGTTGGGGGCTGGAAAAACCGCAAAGTGATAGGCACCCAATATTTTATCAATATTTTATTGATAAAAACCCGAAAAAAACCGTAACCCGATCCCAACAAAAAACCAATAAGAGGACACTTTTTCAAAGAGGACACTTTTCTGAAAATATTGCACTCTAGCTTTCGAGTAGGATCCCGATTTTCCGAGGTATGACCTCATGGTTTCCAATCTTTTCCAACGCATGATCTTGCTTGCAATATAGTCCTAGTTTGGGCCTCGATAAGAACACTGCAAGTATGTGTCATGTTTTGTTGAAGCTGCAATTCTCTGCAGGTGTTTCAATTAGGCTTGTATAGCGCCCCCAGGATTTAGATGCCCCGTCCGAAGCCCGTGCAGCTTTGCTCCAGGCAGTGGAGCTGCTCTGAGCTTGCGGCAGGAATGGCCCACTTGGTGCGATGCAAAGAAGAATCCGATGAGGCTTTGAAAGGCCAGCTTCAGGAGACCCCATTGAAATAGTGATGCATCCATTATGATAGTATAATCGATTCACTAGCCCATAGCGTTTGCCCGTGATATAGGCCTGGAACCTCTTCCAAAACATATATAGGCCTAGCTAACTTACTCCAAAAGTTTTTCGTGTTGAGCCCAATTCAGAATAACCTCGAATCAAATACGCAGGAGCTTGACGCTGAGCTGGCGCTCATCGGTGATGCCGCGCCAGCTCCGCCCAAGAATCCCAAGAAGAACCAAGTTGGATTTGCCGAGGATCCAGCAGCCTAGTTAGTTTCAATTACTTTTCAGGTTTGTTTTTGCGTACCAACACGTTGTAATGTAAGGGGAATCTAAGGTAGGTGTGGCCGGTCACGCTCAAAACGATCCCCGCTTTGCAATTCGCAATTTGCAGAGCAGCTTTAATGCTGTCTCAAACGAGACATGTGAGAAGGAGCATGCTCCCGTGTCTACTACTGCGTTACATGCGGCTCCTACCGTAGAGTACGCGGTGAACGCTGAGCTAGAGAAGGCGGCCATCGCGCCCAAGGAACTTTGCTCGGAAATTATTGATATATGTACAATCCAACATTAGGTTCTCTCGGGGCAATGTGTTGTTTTAATCAAGGTCGGGGGTTCTGCAGTTACGCTAAATTCAAAACTATATAGATACATAGATTTATAATGCTGGACCCTATAGGCATAGTAAGGCCCACCCCCCGGAAGAAATTATTTTGTTTAGGATTCACACACATGGCAGGAGCGACCGAAGCCCTCCAAGCGTGCGCCATCGAAGCCATCCAAGCCATCCAAGCCTGCACCCTCCAAGCATATACCCGCCGAACCTGCGCCATCCAAACCTGCTTCCCCTGACCCCGGCCACTCCGATGATGATGCTGTGCTAGCCCAAGAGAAGGCAAATTTGGAGGAGCAAATTGCCAAGATCAACGCTCGTATGGAGGCGCGTGGCAACAAGCGCCAGGTGAAGCACGAAGGCGATGCGCCGCCCCGTAAGAAGAGCGCGACGGCGCCTTCAAATGCTCCGCCTGAAGCCCCCGAGCCAGCCGCCTTGAAAAGACAGGGTGCTAACGTGTTCCCGACTCGCAGTTCATCCTCCCTTGACCAACCCAAGCCCAAGCCATCCTTGCGCGGCCCAAGTGATGCTGATGCAAGCCGACCAGTAGCGGCTCCTTTGAGAATGGGTGGGAGAAAGGAAATGTCAAGGTCCGATTCCTGTCGCTCCATTACGCCGACTCTGAGGGAGTCTGCGGAGGGGTCTGCTAGCTCGGGTGACGAGGATGAGAATGAGTGGGATCCTGCAGGCAGGAAAACGGCCAGAACGGAGGCCTTGAACAGTGGCAGGTGGGGTGTCGTTTACGATCCCAAGACTGGGAAGGCAACCTAGCTCAAACTAGCTGGCCCTCACAACCTTTTAAATGTCTGAAATACCCCAAAATCCAGCGTCTACATTCTGAGGTACTCTCCGAATCAGCGATCGAGCAGAGATTGAGGAGAGCCTCGACCGCCGGCAAGAAGAAGGGTGCCGCGGGTGGAGAAGCTGCGGTGCAGCTGTACAAAGACGTGGACAACAGGGAGGCAATGACGAAAATGCTGATCGCAGCTGGCTTCAGCAAAGCACCTTGGTAATCAAACTAGCTTCGTGATCTGTTAATATTGGCCTGTTAAATCCCATTTGTTCAGCTAAGGGAGCTTTCCGACGTAGGGTTAGCAAGTACGTGGAGAAGCAGCGGGCCAAGCTGCAGGAGATTAAGGCTGGGTGGTATACAGAGGCGGCGATGGCAAGCGAACTCAAACTCAGCGCGCTAGAACCTCATTTGTTTTTCATGGAGCCTGTGTATAAGTATACGATGTATTATCTTAAGTGCAGCCTAGGGCGGATATCAGGGACATTGTGGCTTACACGAAGACGCGACCGCACCTGCGGAGGTGTGCCCTCGCATTACTTATGCTTAATTAAGTTTGCAGACCCAATCCTATACGGCCAGGAAGTACAAGTACAACACGAAGAAGCTCCAGCATTGGGTCGAGAAGGAATGGACTGAGACGAACAGCAAGCTGCGCAGGGAAGGCAGCAGACGCGAGGTCAGCACAGACGAGAGGGACCTTCCCTCGGAGGGTGAAAAGGACATGGATGATGAGGCGGAGTTGCCTGAGGATCTCGAGGAGCCCAATGATGCTGACGATGCTGATGGCGCAAAGCCATTTGATGTCGCAGAGGACAGTTTCTCCAGAACATGAACGTAAATTCCCACATTTTTTCCGCGTAATCCCGTTTATAAGTCTCATTCCCGAACTTATTTTCAGGAAACCATCGACAGCGTGGAGAAAGCCATGAATGACATACTGGGACGCATTGCCAAGATGCATGACAATGCGTCCAAGTTCCGCCCGCCGTACAATCCGGACCCCAAGCCTACCCATGAGAGGCCATGCTAAATTCTTAGGTTCCTGAATTCGTATGTATATTGGATGAGCTCCTATAAGAATCTAGCTAGCTATAGGTACGCTACCCAAATGGATCAGCTCGCAGCGATGTTGGAGAATCGCTATGACAAGTTGGCAAGTTTGGGTGGGGAAGCCCGCGCTCTTGGTTCAATTCCTGACACCTTGAAGCATCCTGCTTGCATTATGTTGTTTAATTGCCCAAACTGTCCCTGTAGCATACTTGCTTCAAAAATCTTGAGTATCAGGAAGTCGGTCGAGGAGAACATCAAGAAGGCTTCTATCGAGTCCCCTAGTTGCAATATCAAATTACTTCCATCCAGTCTATTACATGTTCCTGTTTGCATTTTGAGAATGGAAATCTAAGGGTTGCAAAAGCAACTGCTCAAGAAAGCCTGGCGCAGTCATGAGCTTAATTAGACCAAAGACTTGCCTGCACCATGATTTTTGCTACCCTGTCGTGATCAATCTATACAATCTAGGAAGGAGATACGCGAGATCGAGAAGCTTCGCAAATCCCAGGGCACCAAGCCTAAGCCAAACCCTGTTCCAAAGGGTGCGGCTAAGAGCGCCGCTGCTAAAAAGAATGGTCAGGGCAAAAAGCCCAAAAAGTAGTTTTCCCGGTTAGGGAGTTCTGATGCTCTAGGATGTCACGCGAATCCTACGCTCAAGCAAGTCTGTGTTTATCATAATACATGCTGGGGTCTGCAGCAGTCTTGTGCGTGGGCAGTGTGCTTTTATCCGGAGCCCGTTACAGGGGAAGATTGCGGCGGGAACGCGAGAAAAATGAATGGGACTATGCTTTCTGATCTCTCTACCCCTAAAATTATTTGGGAACCCCACGCGTGCCAGGTGACAACAAGCAGCGCCTCCAGGTGGCACGCTGTTTGGCGCGAGGGGCGCCACGATCAAATATCTTTATAGGATTTTAAATTTAAGTATTAGGGTTGAGTTGGGGTGTGGTAGGGACTTAGGGTTCTCGAGCGCTAGACGCGCCATTCAGCAGGATTTTGGGTTTTCCCGAAGCTTTTATCCTTTGGGGATCTTATCCTTTGGGGATTTTATTTTTTGGAGATGTAAGCGTGGGGATGACTATAATATCGGTTTTTCGGGAGGCTCCCAAGAATTTAAGATAAGTCCACCCCATACAAGGTTTTGAGATAAATCCATACATATATCAACCTAAATCCTATTATATCCTAAGGTAGAGATTCCCATACATGTGCATGCGCACCCAATCCCTATACTCCATGGGGCTCTAGCATTACAAAACAGGTAGGGGAATTAGCTGGCTCTCCAAAGCATGGGGTATACATAACGTTTCGGATTCCACATTCCATCTAAGGCTACTGGGGCAGATATCTGGAGGGATGCGAAATCACGACGTGAAGAATCCAATGCTACTTCTTCTTCATCTATATATGGACGCCTTGCTCGAGGAAGTGCACATCGAACCGAGAAAAATGCATTCAAAGAGCTGCTGGGCTAGTATATGATCAGCTGTTTCAGAATAGCAATTGTGTTTCAATTTGATCGTGACATATTTTTCAGCTATAGGGGTAGTTATGCACATTCATCCCCAATATCGATCATCATCAGCATCACAATTGTTAAGGTTGAGTGCCACCGGCTATGCGCTGGATGTGGAGATTCGCACAATCAAAGCTGGACCGAAATTCATCGAAATTCCATTTCTGGATCCGTATGATATGGTATCTTGTTTGGCGAGGCACGATCAGCTACATCGACTTCATGGCAATAACAATTTGTTAGAATTCTGGCGAAGATTTTCAAAGGTTCAACCAGACTGTTGGGTCTTTCAGGCAGCAGTTGCTGGACGTATCAATTTGGCAACCACAATTCCGTTTTACAGTCACGGAGACGAGGGACGTGGCAAGCGCAAGAAGGGCATTCTCATATGGTCAATGCGAGGATGCGTGGGAGAAGGGACAAATCTTTTCAAGGAAGATCATGACGAAGCTGCAAAGGCAGACCGAATGGGCCTCAATATGAGTGGAAGCATGACATCAAGATTCCTTCATATTGCGGTGCCGAAATCAGTATACGGCAAAAATTCTACACCAGTATGGGATGATATTGCTCTTCATATTTCCCGATCGTATTACCGGCTGCAGACTGAAGGTTTTGAGTACCAAGGACGTATATTCCATGCAGTTTGTTTGAACCTAACTGGTGATAATCCATTTCTTGCCAAAGCCGGTCATTTGGACCGATCTTTTGCGAGGGTTGCAAAGAAAACTGGGGATGCTGTCTGCAACGGCATTTGTTGGCAATGTCTTGCCGGCACTCCGAGCGTGCCGTTCGAAAACCTCAATCTTCATCCAGAATGGTCGCACACAATGTATGAGACGCTTCCATGGATAAACCATCCCCCGTTTTTACAAGGACTTCAACATCCAGAGAATGATCCTATGGCACCACGGCTGTTTGCGTTTGACGTTTGGCACAATATGCATGGTGGAATGGCGAAACACATGATTGCATCTACGATTGCTGAAATTGTGCCTAACATGGAGGAAAATTCACTTGAGAAGCGTATTCAGGAGATCGATAAAACGTATCAGGTTTGGCGAAAGACTTCAAAGTTAACGCTTCACTGCGGACACCTAGACCGAGAGTCGTTTGGCATTGAGTCAGGCATTCAGGTATGCCCTACTGGCACGTGGACCAAGTTCAACGATTCCCGCGTCTTGATGACATTCTTGGAAGATTTTCTGAAATCTAGACAAGCATATGTACCAACGGAAATCACGGAGGAGGCCCTTGCTGGCATCGCTGCCGCAAACAAATGTTTCGGAACACTGTACCGCAGTGGGTTCTGGCTCACAACTGTTGAAGCTACTACAGCTGGGAACGCTGGCATGAGATTTTTGGCATCATATGCGAGTCTCGCATGTTGGACACTCGAGCATGGCCGCATCCGCTATCCGCTGATGCCAAAAATTCATTATCTTCACCACGCTTTTCGCACTATGCTTTTAGAAGCAATGCATTTGGTTTGGGTGCCGAACGCGCTGGGAACATCTGTCCAACTCGATGAAGATTTTGTGGGACGTGTCGCCAGAATATCTAGGAGAGTTGGAAGTGGCTTGTTGATGCAGCGCACTCTAGAACGCTATCTTGTAGCGGCAAATCTCGCATTATTCCCGGAAGAAGAGAAAACAATCGGAGAAGTGTATTCATTTTAGCAGGATTCTATAGAGGGAACTTCGCATCCAGGTGTATTTCTTCATAGTTTCATTAGTTGCAAGAAATGGGTTCCGGAGGAATGTCTAAAGCGGATGTTTTTTTTTGTGAGGCTGGTTTTTTTCGTACTCTTTAAGAGGCTGCTTTTTTTCGTCACAAGGTATTTCCAGGTAGGCTTCCCCAAAGCCTGAACCTGCCGGCCGAAATCCCCAAGCCAAAAAACGAAAACACTCACCCCTAAGCCCGGTTCCCTGGAACCCTACGTGGGGTTTAGGGTTTTGGGTGTAGGGTTTTAAGTCTGGGGGCCTGTCTTTTGAGTCATAGATGAAGTGGAAACCACCAGAACGTTTTACCCCCAGGGTCCAGGAAGCAAATACCTAGAAAGCCTAGTTACCCATAATAGTGGCATACTTTAACCCAAAGTAGTAGGAAACTAGGGGAAAGTAGACGAAAATTATGGGTAACTGGCTTTCTAGGTAGACCCTATTCATAACCCCATAAGGCCTAAACCCTAAATCACTAAAAAGGTTTGGGCACCATGCACGCACGCAAAGCTGGAATCTATCGCAGACAAGCCTTTAGACTGCATTGGAGAACCCACATGAGCTGTAGTCTAAACTCCTTAAAGGGGGTCTATAGGGGATCATATACGGGACTACTATAGGGGTTATTAAGGGGGATACTAGGAGTTTAGACTATAGCTCACATGTCTGCGAGCATCTAGAAAGTGGATTGCCCCTAAAGGGTTGGGGTTATAGGGTTTAGGGTTTAGGGTTGAGGGTTAGGGTTTCCAGAAAGTATCCAAGAGTAGCAGATGGCACCAAACTCGGGGATCTACTTTCGAGATCCGTTCAGGGGTGCGGGCAGTGTCGTAGGAATCTACCCCAAAGGTGCAGGTACCTGAGCAGGGTGTGGCTTATGGTTTTGGCCTAAGGGCTGACGCCCCTAAACCTGAAGGGTTTAGGGCTCGAAGCCCGAACCCTGAACCCTATTGTTGGGGGTTTAGGGTTGGAGTTGGGGCTGGTCCCTGTGCTACTTCTTGGTTCTTGTATATGTGCTTGTAACGCTTGGTAACGCCTTAGGGCTTCGGGTGTCGGGCTACTGCCCAAAGAGAACCGGTAGAAGATGCACAGAGTCCACAGGGGCTGAGGGCTGTTGAATTAATCTGGGTTCAGGGTTTAGGGTGGTTGCTGGTTTCGTTGCAACTAATCCAGGGGTGTTTTGAAGGCACTTCTCAGTTGTTGCTTGCTATGAAACACCTAATAAACAGCTTTAGATACGTGAGCATGCCGTAGAGCCTAGAACCTTAACCTTAAGCCCAGTTCTAACTCCCTCCCAACACACAGCTAAAGGCCTCTAGGACAGATCTAGCAGCAAACCCCCAGAACCTAAACCCCTCAGCATTTGAATCCTAAACCCCAAAGTTAGCCAAACCCTAGTCCCTCAACCCTAAAACCCTAAAGCCTGAAACCCGAAACCCTAAACACCCTAAACACCCTAAACTGCTTTCTAGCAATACCATTCTTGTGCAAGTCGGGGCTAGCAGGCAGGCCTGGGGGGAGCCACACGGTTTAGGGTTCAGTGTTTAGAATCTAGGGTTTAGGGTTTAGAGTTTAGGGTTCAGGGTCCATCGTTCTGATGTGGAAGAATCAAAACTCATAGGAGCCCATAGGTAGAGCTTTAGGACTTAATGGCAGATGTTTCCCGAACATGTGGTTAGACCTGGAGAGTTTGGCTGTGGGGTTTTCTAGGACTTGGCGTTTAAAAGTTGACGGTTTTCTTCAGCCCCCTAAACCCTAAGCCAGTGCCAGCAGTCCTGCACGAAGAAGCTTCAACAAACGCCAAAACGAGCTATAGTCTAAACTCCTAGTATCCCATTAATATCCCCATACAGTTGTTCCCTATGTAATCCCCCGGTAAGCCCCTCTAGGGAGTTTAGACTAGCCAGTATTGCGCCTGTAGAATCCTTGCAAGACTTAAGTGGAATTGCACACGATTGCCAGGGTGAGTAGGACATTGAATGAGTTCAATGTTGGCCCCAGGAATCACACCCAAAGGGCCAGGGGAAGCTTTCACCTTGCAAAGATTGTGGCAAGTAGGGATTAAGCGCGCGGTTCGCCGCGCGATATAAAGAGAGCCCGTTCATAGGTTCTCCTAACCGCCAACCCCAGTACCGCCCCCCTCTAGGTTCCCAGGTTATACCTTAATTAGCTTCAGCAACTTTAGCCGTGGTAGGGCCGTGGAGTGTAATATACGACACTCCACCCCGCCAACAGAGCAGGCGCGGTTTAAGGCTTTAGGGTTTGGGGTCTGAGGTGTAGGGGTTTAGGGCTCAGTGTTCACAAAGGCACAACATCATGCGAGCACCTCAAAAGATCCGGATGGGCCCGTGGTAAAGTCTTACCTAGACCTCCGAAATATTCATAGCAATAATGTACCTCCAAGGTCTGCGCACCCAAATATTGCCCTCGTAACTAATAGTAGATACCCCCGTCAAGCCAAGTAATTGATATTAACTACTGTACATAAAAGACTGCATACATGGGGGGGGCATGTCTACCATCAGGAGTGTGGGGTTGTTTAGTATTGGTCAGCACGAAGAGATTTATGGGGTGTGGAGTCCTAAAAACTATAACCATTTCACCTGGTTGAGGGTTTAAGGTTTCGAGTTTAGGATTTAGGGTTTAGGGTGTCAAAGGCCACTACTATGGGTATTTGGGAAGTCCAGGAACAAGCCTGAACCTCGAAATCTAAGCCATCCGACCGAAGTTGGGTGCAAGCTGCCTCAACCTTCTCTCTGAATTTGAGCCCTGACGATCCTTAAGCCCTGTACTCCCCGCGGTTTACGGTTTAGGGCTTAGGGAAGCTCTTATTCGAAAGGCTTAACTTCTACACCTACAACGTCAGTGGCACGGAGCAAGTCAAATACTTTCACTACGCGTTGGAGGCCGTATCTTGAATACCTGCTTCGTACTTGGAGGTGTAAAGGGGGCCTTAGTGAATACTGCCCCAGACCCTAAATTCTGTAGGGCTTGGGGTTTATTTAGGCTGTACTGCAAGGTCGATGTAGTACGGATACTTATGATAGCATATCCACCCTTAGCCATGATCCACGTAGTGATACTTTCAGCAATCCTTACAAACCCTAAAGCCCAAGCTCTACACCCCACGCCCTACACACTAAAATCCAAAGCCCTACACCCTAAACCCTGAACCTTACACCCAAAACCCCAAACCCTAAACCCGAAACCGCAAAACCTAAACCCTAGACAAGCGCCCCTCACCCTCCAAGCATGTTTCAGGCCACTGATCTCCAGTATTGGGGCCTTCGAGATAACAGGGTTTAGGGTCGAGGGTTTAGGGCTTCGGGTTCAGGGTTTAGGGTTTAGGGTCTAGGATTTATTGTTTCGGGTTCAGAGTTTGGGGGATACGGCTGCACATGTGTAGAGTTTGGAGTTCTACTCCGTATGGGCTAGATCCTGAAATTCCTTCAAGGCCCCTCATAGGGATAGATACAGGGACCTTTCAGGTCTAAGATCCCATCCTGGCAATGCGCAAAATGTTCA